TTTGGAAGGCGTCGACTGCGTTTGGGACTGCTCCATTTGCGTACTACAATGCAACAACAATTATGGTATACGAGGAAAAATTGAAGACATTGAAACTCATAATGCGAATAAAATAAAAAACATATAAACAACTATACGAGGAAAAATTGAAGACATTGAAACTCATAATGCGAATAAAATAAAAAACATATGAACAACTGTGTAACAGCTGTCCTCCAATACAACCGTCTTAGAACATTGTTATTGTTTTTTTCGTCGGCTCACGCTACAGGTCTCCAATGATTTCCTCAAAATGTGTACCACAGAACGAGCTCATCTGTGTAATTAAAAAGCAACATACTGGACAATACAGAAACAACTTTACAACAGAAATCCTAGAGCATGTACCCTGGTCAATGGGATCTCTTCACAAACGAAATCAATGAACGCTAACAATTGTATGCTAATCCGAAACTTCCTGAAAATATCTATTACATAATGAACTTGTCTGTAAAACTAGAAGGTGATAGAGGACATTACAGAACAACTTTACCAGAGGAACCCTAAAGAATGTTCCCTGGCAATTGTCAATGGAGCATTATCTCTTCACAAATGACATCAATGAATGCTCAAAACAATTTATATGCTAGTCCAACCCCTTAATATAGGATTTTGGTTGCAATGAAGAGTGCCTTAAACAAATATCTCAATTATGAATATCACACTCCATGGCAGAAAACCAAATTCAATTACAAAAGGTTCTCCATAAAAACAAATATATTAAGGGGTATAAAGGAATGCATTTTAGGCAGAAAACAAATCTCTCTGCCAGAAAACAAATATCTCTACTTTATCTCTGCCAGAAAACAAATATCACAGAAATACACTGATTTGCAGAAAACAAATATCACATTCCATGGCAGAAAACAAATATCTCTACTTTATTTGTTGGACATGTGGGCTATAAAGGAATGCATTTTTACTCAGAAATACACTGATTTGCAGATCAGTATCCCATTTTTAATTCTTTGTTCCATTTCTCCCACCCGCATCGTTTCCAGCAAGACTCAATGAAATAGAAAAAAAAAAAATTCATAACCAAAATCAGAAATGACAACAACAAACCGTAGACACACAACAATCGCAACAACAACGTCATCGTCTTCCCTGAAGTTGGTCTTGTTCATCTTCAGAGACAGAGGGTTCAACTGATTGTGAAATTCGAACTGAAATCGTGGAGAGATGCTTACATCGTGAAACAGATCGCCGAACCGAAATTCACATCTTACAACCAGATCTGTAGATCTGGTTTGGGTTCCGGATTCATAGAGGGTTTCGGTAGAGAGAATAGAGGGTTTCGGTGTTACAGATAAGAGAAGAGAGGTAGGAAAGATAAAAAAGTTTTGGAACAAAATCAGAGAAAGGAGAGCCAGTGAGAAAATTAAATTGCGTGGAAGAGATGTTACCTTGTAGTTAGGGAGAAACCGGCCGGCGTGGTGTAGATCTGGTCGGAAGTGATGCAGATCTGGGCGACGGATTGTGTGTTAAGTTGCGATCGAGTCCAGGTCGGACTTCCCCACGGCTGTTGCGGTGCTGGACGGTGAAGGCTGGGACGGATCTCCGGCGTCGCTGGTGTGGATATCTCCGCAGACGGATTGCCCCCTTTTGGTCTTCGATCTCGGCAGAACTCCACTGATACAGAGAGAGAGAGAGAGAGAGAGAGAGAGAGAGAGAGAAGGGGATGTTCGGGTGAGAGTTAAAGGGGTTGAGGAAGGAATAAAAAAAAAAGGGGCAGAATAGTATTTTTACCCTCCGTAGGTTTCTCCCAAATTTGGCCGCCCAAAACATGAAAATAGGGTGACTTTTTGACTTTTTTGATAACTTTTTGGCTTTTTGGCTTTTTCGTAGCATCCCAAACTTGGCCTTAATATTAGGGATCCTAAAAAAAAAATACCAACATATAAACTCTTCAAAGAGAAATTTCACAAATAAATTTCAACTCATCACAGTTTCTCTGTGACGAGTTGACATTTTTTTAAGGCGAATTGAAATTTCTTTAATAATATTATCGGAAAACTCAACTAATAAAAAAAAAACATATTGAACCTCTTCTATTATTAAAAGTTAGAGAGGACTGTTTCAATAATTTTTTATTTAAATTTTCATTTATTTTTATTGATTTTTTTAAAATATTTTGGTTAATTTTTTTTACTTTTTATATGCATCTAATATTTATATACATATAAAAAAAGACTAAAACATGAAAAAAAAAAAAGCAAAAACAAACAAAAATTTGTCTAAAAATAATTTATTAAAATAAAAAAAAAACAAAGCCGACTTTTCAATTAAATGGTCTTAATTAATAAATTTTATTACTGTTGTGTTGGAAGAAAATGCACATATATTTTTTTTGGGTTGGATTAGCAGCTACACGATTTCTATTAACATTCTGAACATTTGCATGTAAAATGTTGTTTGGCAATTTAGTTTATCAAAATATGTTGGACTTTTTCATAATTTATACTCCTCTAAAAGTTTGCATCAAACAAATTTATAATTTTCGTTTAAAAAAAAATTATAATTTATAAATCAATAATCTAAAAAACTATATTTTAAATATTACCCACTAAACTTTATTGCAATTTTTTAAAAAATAATGACATGATCTCATGTCATTTTTTTTATGCTATGATTTTGTGATTCACAACAATCAAATAGACAACAATCCCAAAAAAGCCTAATTTGATAATCAATTTGTTTCCCGATATTTTAAAATAAGTGATTGTATATGTATAAATAATATTATTCGGACAAATGTATTAATGTTGCATTAGTTATTTACCAATGTTATTTGATATGACACAAAATCATGATAGAATTATGGTCCTAAAATAATTGTAAAGGATCATGATTAAAAAATAAGATTAACAAATTAAATCAAACTTAAAAAACAGAATCTTTAATTGAAATATGAAATATTACTTTTAGCCATTTATTTATGGAGGTTTGAAAATTACAATTAAATGGTTGAATAATTCGTAATTTGAATCTAACATATTCTGAGAGAAATATTTGACATCATTCAAATTTAAAGACTAATAATTAGCACATTGTCAAATTTGTACAGGATTGCAATGTGCCATTTGTTGATTATGGAAAACGATTGAGGCCACGAATTTGAGAACTCGAATGTGGCTCGAAAAAGATTTTTTTTTTTTTTTTTAAAATTGTGTTGGTTTGGTTGTTTTTATTATTATTTTTATTTATTTGTTGGGTTGTATTAGTTTGATTATTTTTATTTATTTATTTATTTGTTAAGCTTTTGTAATTTTTTTTTTTGTTTTGTTTAAAGGATGGTTATGTGTAGGGGTGGGTTTAAAGCTTAGGATTTAAGGTTTAGGTTTTTATTTTATCCGAGTCTTTCTAATTTGAAATAAAAATATTGTAAGGACTCGTACAAAACTATATGGGTTGGATTGTGTTAGTTTTGTTATTTTTATTTATTTATTTATTTATTTGTTGGGCTGTTGTAATTTTTTTTTTTTTTGGATGATTATGTCACTACAAGAAAAAACACTTTTCGTGACCAACATTTTGGTTGCGAAAAGTACCATATTTGGTCGCTAAAACCTTTTCGCGATCAAAATATGTTGGTCGCGAGTTGGTCGCTAAAGCCTCGTCACAGATAGTTTTCTGCGACCAAAAAAACCTTTGGTCACTAAAAGTGACCATTCGCGACCAACTTTTTTAAAATATAAAAAATTAAACATTATATTTAAAAAAAATTCCCGATATATAAAAAATAAAAAAATTTCTAATCCCCTCACTATTTTCTAATACCATCTCTACCTCCTCCTTACCAATCCTCATTTCAAGAGTATTAGTAATACCAAGGGACTAATAGTCCCAAGGCTATCTCTGCAAACAAACAAGGGCATTAGTAATACCTTGGTATTACTAGTCCCAATACCCTCCCTATAACCTAAAACAAACAGGGTCTTAAGGTTTAGGTTTTTATTTCTTCTGAGTCTTTTTGATTTGAAATAAAAATATAGTAAGGACTCGTACAAAATTATATGTTACTTGGGGACAAAAAGGATATATGGGCAAAGTGGGGTTCTGTTTTCTGTTGTTCTTTCGCTTCTGCGAGTGTGGCTTTATGTTGTAGGTTGTCCAGTTATAGTTTGTGGTGTTTTGTTCGTCTATTATTTGTTGTTGGGTGTACCTGGGGTATGCCCCTTGTAAACTTGTACATTTTACTGTCCCCTTTAAAAAAAAAAAAAAAAAAAAAAAAAAAAAAACCAAACCAAAAAAAAAAAAAACCAAAAAAAAAAAAAAAAAAAATTCTTTTCGAGGCAAATTCGCGCCTCCCTTTCGAGGCCTTTAGCACGGTTGTTTTATTTTTTAAAATCAAATGAGTGTTAATCGTAATAGTTTAATATTAAATTATATTATATAGTGGGTGTTTGGAAAATTATTATTTTAGTAGGTTATTTTAATTTTTAGCTATTTTAGTAGGCTAAAATTTTTGTATTTGAAAAGATAATTGAATTTTTTTGTAGTTAGATGTGATATTTGTGAGAAAAAAAGTGAAATGATTATGGGTTTGATGTGACATTTTGTTTTATTGACTATTTTAGCCTATTTTATTTTTTTGTGAATTTTAACAAAAAAAAGCCCTTCCCAAACACCCCATAATATACACACATAAAGAATTTTAATAAACATAATGATTAAATGATAAAATAGAGGCCTTGTTTGGAAAGTTAGTTATTTTAGTTGGTTATTTGATTTTTTTTTGACTATTTTAACTTAGCTAAAATAGTTATATTTTTGAAGATATTTTTTAAAAAAAAATTAATTTGATAATTATGAGAGAAAAATAAAATAATTATGAATTAAAATAGTTTATTTTATTTTTATTAGTAACTATTTTAATAATTTTAAAAAAAAAAAAACTAAAAAAAGCAACTTGCGGGCAGAGTGGGTGAAAGGTGGGGCGGGAACATACGGGTGCGGACGGGTGCAATTGATATCAACAACAGTGGCAGGTACCAGGATCCGGCACAGTAATGTAAAAATTCCGTAAAACAAGTCTCAGCTTGAAGAGGCTCACTGTAAGACACTGGTCCTTCTGGTCTACCTTCTCTCTTCTCTCTCTCCGTCAGGGAGAAATCAAACCCAGAAACTACACTCAGATTCACTCACTCCATTTTTAACTCGAATTCAACCACCAACACATTCTCAGAAAAACTCCATAGATCTCCCACTCAAATTCAACTCACAAACCCTAACATCTGGGGTCTCCCTCTACCACAATGGACATACTATTCGCTCAGATCCAAGCCGACCTTCGCTCTTCAACGATCGCTCTCGCGCCAAACCGCGCTCTCCTCCAGCAATCCGCCGCCGGCCGCGACATCTCCGTCATCGCCAAATCCGCCGTCGAAGAGATCGTCGCCTCCCCTGCCTCCGCCATCTCCAAAAAGCTCGCCTTCGATCTCATCCGCTCCACCCGCCTCACCACCGACCTTTGGGAAATCGTCTGCACCGGCATCCACACCGATCTGGACTTCCCTGATCCCGACGTCACTGCCGCCGCCGTCTCCATCCTCGCCGCCATCCCCTCCTACCGCCTCGGCAAACTCATCGCCGATTGCAACAAAGAAATCTCCAACTGCTTCGATTCGCCGAGTGATAATTTGCGATTCTCAATCACGGAAACCCTAGGTTGCATTCTCGCCAGGGACGATCTCGTGACGCTGTGTGAGAATAATGTGAATTTGTTGGATAGAGTTTCGATTTGGTGGAGTAGGATCGGGCAGAACATGCTGGACCGATCTGATGCCGTGTCGAAGGTCGCGTTCGAGTCGGTGGGGAGGTTGTTTCAGGAATTCGAGTCGAAGAGAATGAGCCGGTTGGCTGGTGATAAGCTTGTTGATAGTGAGAATTCAGTTGCCATTCGATCGAATTGGGTTTCCTCCATGGTTGATTTTGTTTGGAGGAAGCGGAACGCATTAATGGCGAGGTCGTTGGTTTTACCCGTAGAGAGTTTCAGAGCAACTGTGTATCCACTCGTGTATGCAGTGAAGGCGGTGGCTTCGGGTTCTGTTGAGGTTATTCGGAAGCTTTCAAAGTCTTCTAAAAATGCTAACAGCAATACGTTGGACTCCGGAAATGCAGAGAGATTTGTGGGAGTTTCCGATGTGGTTTCGCATTTGGCACCGTTTTTGGCTTCGTCGTTAGAATCGGCATTGATTTTTGAGGTGGCAATAAACATGTTGTACTTAGCTGATGTTCCTGGAGGGAAGCCTGAGTGGGCTTCACAATCGATAATAGCAATTCTCACACTTTGGGACAGGCAAGAATTTTCTTCAGCTCGAGAAAGTATTGTTAGAGCTGTTGTTACGAATCTGCACCTTCTTGATCTTAGTATGCAGGTATGTGTCCGTAGTTCCCGCTTATTTATTTTTGTTAAACCGGAGAAGGACTATACATGGACAGCTTGTTTGCACTCCCGGAACTGTATGAATTGAATGAAACCTTTCAATGAAATGTTGGCAACTTAGGAAGTCAGTTTAATATCTCTATTATTTAGTCTGTTGTGTGTAAAGTTATAACTTGGTGCCCAAAAACTTAGTGGAACCAGTAAGTTGGTTCCTGAAGGTACGACTTGGTGCATGTGTTTGGCATTCACATTGTATTCTAAGGATAACAGTTATTTTATGGTTTGATATGTGTAAATTCTACTCTCATTCTGTCTGTAGAATTAATTTTGCTATGTTTCCTTGTTATTCATCTCATTCCTGAAGTGCTTGTTTAACTTCTGTTTTTTTGTATACTGTGGAAAAAGTACACATATAAATGTCAGAGAGCGCCTCTCACGTTTTATACTGCTATATATGGTTAAAAAATGGTTATGCGTTAAAATGGACGAAGTGATCCCTTCTTCATTGCTGCTATCCATTTGGAGACTTTTTAGATTTTGTAAATTGAGGATAAAATGGGCACTTGTACTGGTTTCTTTTCAGAGACTTTTCAGATTTTGTTTCTTTTTATATTAATGTGCAGGTTCGTGAACCCAGTTCCATCATAGTTTCTTTTTGTTTGATTGGAGGGGCATACTGCTATTCATCTAGGTGGTGAAACCATAACAGTAGAATACTCAGACAGCTTTGAGGTCTCCATTGATCAATTACAAAGGTTGCAAATAGTAGATGAGCTACTTGAACAGTATAAACTAGAACTTTATGCTTCACAAAAATGTTAGCGACTTCAAAGTGTTACACTTTTCTTACCATAAATTCTACCACCCAGTCCCCCCTCTATTCACTTACTAATTGCTAGATTTAGAAATAACTTGGTGTATGAATCAGTCTGTGTTGGTGTTTTATCTAAATTGAATTTTCGGCTTATTTAGGTGGTTTATTAGTTTAATCTATTTCTGTCGAATTACTTCTATTGTGGCTCCTTGTTACTCATTTGATATATGATATGAAGTGTTTCTTTCATTTTGTTTTTTCTGGGTACTGTGAAAGAAATGCAATTGCATCTGTTCAAAAGCAGTTATCTTGTATATTTTGCATTTGGTGTGTGGACCTTTATCTCTCTCTCTCTCTCTCTCTCAATTGTTTTAGAACAACTTTATCTAGCTTGATATTTTGGTGTTCCCAATATGCCATACCCCCTTCTCCGGAAGGGAAAAAATGGTGTCATTTTGAAGTTTAACTCATAATATATCATTTCCATTATCTTGTTAATTTTTTGGCATTAGCTTTATATGTTGGCAGTCCATTCTCTTACAATATTTATATGAATGCTGGGGTTATCTGGTACATTAAGTTTTTTCATCACCACGGAAGAAATAAAGGTTTTGACTGCTATTTTAGATGAAAAGAGGACTGAAGATGGTCTCTTAGCTGGTTTTTCTTATCAACGGTTGTGGTGTAATGACTATTAGGCATTGGATAATATGGAAATTTCTTGGTTTACATGTTTTATACAATGGTCATATGTTTTAAAGTATACATAAACATGTAGATTGATATACCAATTTTTTGCTTGCAGGTTTCTTTGTTTAAAAGGTTGCTTCTCATGGTGAGAAACTTGAGAGCAGAATCAGATCGCATGCATGCTTTAGCATGCATCTGTCGGACTGCTCTTTGTGTTGACCTTTTTGCGAAGGAAAGTGTCCGAAGAGGTCAAAAACCTCTTTCAGGAACCGATATTGCTTCACTTTTTGAGGATGCAAGGATAAAAGATGACCTCCTTACTTTAACAAGTAAAAGTTTATTCAGAGAAGAATTAGTTGCTACATTGGTTGAAAGCTGCTTCCAGTTGTCCTTACCATTGCCTGAACAAAAGAATTCAGGTATGGAGAGCAGAGTTATTGGGGCATTAGCATATGGAACTGGTTATGGAGCATTAAATTGGACAGAACCAGCTTTGGAAGTTGTGGAAGTGTGTAGGCCATGTGTTAAGTGGGATTGTGAGGGTCGAACATATGCCATTGATTGTTATTTGAAGTTGTTGGTTAGGCTTTGTCACATTTATGATACTAGAGGAGGTGTCAAAAGAGTCAAAGATGGAGCCTCTCAGGATCAAATTCTGAATGAAACACGGTTACAGAACCTGCAACGTGAACTTGTGAAAGATCTATGCGAGGTTTGTAAGCTTTCAAAAATTATTTTCCACAATTGCTAAGGTTCTGAGCAATTTGTGACCTATGAAGTTTAGCACTTATGCATTTAGAAAATATGTTTGTTACTTTGAAATGATGACCAGATTAAAAAAAATACTCTTCTAATGTAGATCTTGAATCAGATAATGAGAAGGCAAGAGGCATAAAAGATGAGATACAAAAGGCATGAACAAAAATGTCAAAGGGATCTAGTATCCCTTTTATTTCTTGGTGCTGTTTTTTGAAATTTGAATGACAGTGTTAGTTCTTGTTAGAATATGTGTTAGAATCTTCTTATTAGTTGTTTCCTTAGTTAGATTATTTTGTATTTCCTTAATCAGTGTAATTCCTTGATTAGTGCCTTTGGGCTCTCTTTGTAATTGTTGGTTGATTTATATAAATGGGGTGATATCAGTATCACTCTCAACATCGATTAAACCTCAAATCAAACATAGTATCAGAGCCTTAGGGTTCTAAACCTAGCACCCATCATCGTCTCATCATCACCCAATACCAATCAAAGAGCACCGACTACAACCTAATCAATTTCAATGTCTAATTATCTCCGACGACTCATTGTACCTATTTTTCGGCTGCTCCTCATGCCCTAGGAGGGATCGCGACACTCGCTAGAGTCCTTCTGATCTTCGTTGCTTGTCTCCTAGGCCTCTGGCTGGTTCGTGATTCACTCTAGGTCATCTGACTCTTCTTTGTGCTTCGACCCAGGTCAGGCTGGTTGTTGCGTGACATCGACTAGCTTGTCTGGTCACTCTCTCATCTTCATACAACTTTGATAGGTTAATATAGGAACCTATGGTCTGACTATTTTTTTTTATTCTCATTCTCTTCAATACAACATTTTAGACTTGTGATTGGGTCACTAGGACTGCTATTTTGATTGAAGCTTTACCTTTTATTGTTTTATTTAATTTTTGGGGTGATAAATGGCTTCATTAATTTGAGTGTTATGCTCCCATTGTGATCTGTGTTTGAAATTGTTTGCTTATTCCATTCCCTCTTCCCATTATTGTGATTTGTGCTGTATTTTTTGGTTAAGTTGGTAGCATAGACATGGCTGACCCGTCTAGTGAATCCACTACTTCTCACCTAGCTGAAGGGGAGAATCTCAGTTCAGTTATGACTACTACTTCTGAGAACGCTAGCCTAAAAATCACCACCTCTTTGTTTAATGGTTAGAATTATCTTGCATGGTCTCAATGTCTGACACTTTTCCTGAAGAGTAGAGGGAAGATGGAATATATAGGTGGAAGAATTCAAGCACCTGATATTACTGATCCTGGCTATGATCAGTGGGAGATTACTTTGATCATGGGGTGCCTCATTCATTCCATGGTTCCGGAGATTGTGAAGGTTACTTATCTATAGAAACTGCCCAGGATGTTTGGGAGGCAGTCGCTGCTACATATTCTCAGAAGGGAAATTTTTTTCAATCATTTAAGTTGCGTCGGTCTATTGAGCGCTCAGTTTAGGAGGAGTAGATAGTTCTTCAGTATTACACCTTTTTGACTAAGAATTGAAAACGCCGAGATCATCTCCTAGATTACAAGTCAGTTTGCACTATTGACTCAGTTGGTTACCGAAAGTTTCTTGCATAGGAGAGGGTTTTCAAGTTTTTAGAAGGCCTCAATGTGGAGTTTGATCGGATCCGGAGTCGTGTCCTTGGTATGGACATTCTTCCATTTCTTCAGGAGGCCTTTGCTTATGTCCAGAATGAAGAAAGTCATCGTTCTGTTCTGTTATGTTACCTCCGATTTCTACAAACTGTTCAGCATTACTTTTTGCACCTTCTCGGGATGGGGCTGGTTTGCCACTTCCGTCTTCTCATCCTTCTGGGAAGGATAGTTTGTTCTGTGATTACTGTCGTTGGCCAAGGCATACCCGTGAGACTTGTTAGAAGCTTCATGGGACTCTATCAGGGGGCCGAAGAGATCGCTCTGGTCATAGAGGCGGTTGTTCTAGTCAGGCAAGAGGCCATGGATCCCACTCTCGGCCTCATCAGTCCAGTACTATAGAGATACATGATTCAACTCCGGTTAGGCAAGCGTCTGAAGGACTCTCTGGTATGTCGTCCTTTGAGTTTGAGGATACTCTGCGCACTTTGCTTGATCGCTGGTCTCCTGTTCTTCTAGGTGCATCTTCTTCGTTTGCTCGTTCAGGTAACTTAGCCTCATCTTCCAGTGCTTTTTTATCCCATAAAGCCTTGCCTTGGATTATTAATTCTGGTGCCTCAGATCATATGTCTAGGTCTTCTGATCTCTTCTTTGACAATACCCCAGCCTTCGGTCAAGATAAAGTTAGGATTACAGATGGTATTATTTCCCTCATCTTCGGGAAGGTTTAATCCATGCCACTCCTTCCCTACCTTTGTCTTCTGTTTTACATGCTCCTAATTTTTCTGTTAACCTATTGTCATTGAGTCGCCTTACTCGAGATTTGAATTGTAGTGTAACTTTTTTTCATGATTCTTGTCTTTTTCATGATCTTATCATGAAGAAGACGATTGGTAGTAGTAGAACAGAAAATGGTCTTTATATCTTAGATTAAATTGACCAGTGGGCTCATCATTCCATCCAGTTTCCATCCACCCCGGAAGATTTATAGCCATGGTATAGACGTCTAGGACATCCCTCTTTTTTGTTACTTAGACATTTATTTCCTTCTGTTTTTATTAAAAATAAAGTCTTCGAGTTTCATTGTGAGTCATGCCAACTTGGCAAACAACACCGAGCTTCTTTTGCTTTTAGTAATAATAAAAGTTCCATTATTTTTTCTTTAATTTGTTCGGATGTTTGGGGTCCCTCTCGTGTCATGTTTATGAAGGGTCATCGATGGTTTGTTACTTTTATAGATGATTGCTCTTATGCTACTTGGGTGTATCTCATGAAAGACAAAAGTGAGGTTTTTTCTGTGTTTCAAAACTTCCACAAGATGGTTAGTACTCAGTTTGGGGCGGTTGTCAAAATCCTGTGTTCTGATAATGGGGGTGAGTATCTTGATTCGGGGCTGGCTTAGTATTTTTCCACTCGTGGCATTATCCATCAAACATCTTGCATTACCACCCCTCAACAAAACGGGGTTCTCGAGCGCAAAAATCGTCATTTCCTTGATATGGCTCTCTGAATGTGTTTTTCTATGGGTGTCCCTCGCGCCTATTGGGCCAAAGCTATTCTCACTGCTGCATATCTCATTACCCGTCTTCCTACACAAGTCTTACACAAAAAGGCCCCTCTTCAAGTTCTCTTAGGTTCTGAGTCTCTGTTTTCCATTCTTCTAAAAACCCTTGGTTGTATCTGCTTTGTTCACAATCATTCGCCTTCTCGGGGTAAGATGAATCCTTGTTCTCTCAAATGTGTGTTCTTGGGTTACTCCCCTACTCAAAAGGGGTACAAGTATTATCATCCTCCCTCTCGTAAATGGTTTGTGCCCATGTATTTCACATTTTTTGAGTCTCACTCCTATTTCTCCTCTCGTCTCACATCCCTGTCCTCTCTTCAGGGGGAGTCTTGGAGCGAAGAGAGTCTTGTTACTTCTATTATTCCTAGCTCAGTACTGGATGTATCTCATGAAAGACAAAAGTGAGGTTTTTTCTATGTTTCAAAACTTCCACAAGATGGTTAGTACTCAGTTTGGGGCTGTTGTTAAAATCCTGCGTTCTGATAATGGGGGTGAGTATCTTTATTCGGGACTGGCTCAGTCTTTTTCCACTCGTGGCATTATCTGTCAAACATCTTGCACTACCACCCCTCAACAGAACGGGGTTGCCAAGCGCAAAAATCATCATTTCCGTGATATGGCTCGCTCTATGTGTTTTTTTATGGGTGTCCCTCGCGCCTATTGGGCCAAGGCTATTCTCACTGTTGCATATCTCATTAACCGTCTTCCTACACAAGTCTTACACAAAAGGGCCCCTCTTCAAGTTTTCTTAGGTTCTGAGTCTCTATTTTCCATTCCTCCCAAAACCTTTGGTTGTATCTACTTTGTTCACAATCATTCACCTTCTCAGGATAAGATGAATCCTCGTTCTCTCAAATGTGTGTTCTTGGGTTACTCCCCTACTCAAAAGGGGTATAAGGGTTATTATCCTCCTTCTCGTAAATGGTTTGTGTCCATGGATGTCATATTTTTTGAGTCTCACTCCTACTTCTCCTCTCGTCTCACATCCCCGTCCTCTCTTCAGGGGGAGTCTTGGAGTGAAGAGAGTCCTGTTACTTCTATTGTTCCTAGCTCTGTACTGTCATCAGAGGTGACTGTTATTCCTGGTTCAATACCACCTCCAGTGGTATCTATTATTAGGAATACAGAATCCGATGTTGCCAAGCACAAAGAAGGGCAGGTCTATGTAAGGGACAAGGAAAGGCTACAAGTTGCTTGGATACCTGAGACCATTTATGATCAATCACTGCCATCTCCTTCTCTTGATGAAGGTCCAGGTAACCTGAAACTCCTGATATTGCTACCTTTGAGCCTAGTGATCTTGATATACCTATTGCCAAGAGAAAGGGTGTGAGATCTTGCACTCATCATTCTATATCTAACTTTGTGTCTTATTCTCGTTTGTCCTTTTCATATAAAGCCTTTGTGTCAAAAAATTTCTCTATTAGTATACATAATCATTTTCAGGATGCTCTTACTACTCCTGAGTGGAAACTAGCCATGGTGGGAGAAATGAAAGCACTTCATAAGAATGACACTTGGGATTTGACTGAGTTACCTAGGGGCAAATGAACTGTGGGATGCAAATGGGTATATACTATGAAGCACGAGACGGATGGTTCAATTGAGGCCCGACTTGTGGCAAAAGGTTTTATTCAGACCTATGGGGTGGACTACTAAGAGACATTTGCTCCAGTTGCTCCAGTTGCGAAGATGAATTCAATCAGAGTACTCATCTCTCTAGCGGCTAATCTGGATTGACCACTTCATCAGTTTGATGTGAAGAATGCTTTCCTACATGGTGACCTAGAAGAGGTGTATATGGATATTCTTCTTGATTTTGAAACTGTTCAAACTAAGGGTAAGGTGTGTTGACTTCAAAAGCCATTATATCGCCTCAAATAGTCTCCTAGGACTTGGTTTGAGAGGTTTACCCAGGAGATGCTAAAATATGGTTTCAAACAGAGTCAGGCTGATCATACTCTGTTTGTTAAACATTTCTCTCACAGCTCTCATTGTGAATGTAGATGATATAGTTCTTACAGAAGATGATGTTGAGGAAATCCCTTTGTTGAAGAAGTATTTGGCAAGTGAGTTTGAAATCAAAGACTTGGGGAATTTGAAATACTTTCTGGGGATTGAAGTGGCGAGGTCCAAAGTTGGAATTTTCATCCGTTAGAGAAAATATGTTCTCGACCTGTTAAAGGAAACCGGGATGCTTGGAAGCAAAGCCTGTGATACACTACTATAGCCTAATTAGAAACTTTGTGATGATAGTGGGGGAGCAATTTTTGACAGGGGGAGTTATCAGAGATTAGTGGATAAGTTCATTTGCTTATCCCATTCTTGTCCTGATATTGCTATTGTTGTGAGTGTGGTTAGCCAGTTTATGCACATTTCTCAAGGCACACTTGGCGGCAGTCTATGAAGCACGGACACATGATACGATACGAACACTGGGACACGCAAAATTTCAAAAAATAGGGAACACAACACGTAGGGATATGTTCAATATATATAATTAAATTTATTTATTATATGTCATAAAATTATTAAAAAAAAAATAATTAAAAGATAATAAAAAATACAAAATAATACTATTAAAATTATAAAAAATAAACATTTAGAAATACAAATAACATAAAATTGCATTCCATCAATATAATTTTTTTTTTTATTTTATAAAGGTTCAAAATAGAAGAGAGAGATAGCTGATGACTGACCATATAAAAAAAAAAAAGAAAAAAAAAAGAAGCTCAAATCAAATCAGAGGAGGAGAGAGAGAGAGAGCGACTGAGAGAGAGAGACTGAGACAGAGAGAGAAGATCGGAGATCGAAGAAGAAGAAGAAGATCGAAGAAGAAGAAGAATGAAGAAGAGCAGCGAAGTGTACCTTAGATAACTGCAACAGCAACGAGCGACGACCACCGACGAGCGACGAAAGACCACCGACGACCAGGTTTCTCTTTGTTCTCTCTTTTTCTTATGTTTTCTCTCTCGATTTAGGATTAGATATTGTTTGGTTTTTGTTTTTAACAAATTGACCTCCACAGAAGTTTCATAAATTATGAAATTGACTTCGATTGTGTTCGCTATGTGTCCACTATGTGTTCGATTGCCAAAAAATTAAAAAAAAATTCGGATACTCTCTACTGCGCGTTGGACATGTGTCCATCGTGTGTCCGACGCGTGTCCGAGCCCAACATTGATATGCAGGTCTTGGAGAGGTGTTTGTGCTTCATAAGCAGCAGTTATCAAAATTTTGAGGTACTTGAAAGCTTCTCCTGGAAAGGGTTTTTATTTTTCAAAACATGATCACCGTAGTGTGGAAGCTTATACAGATGCTGATTGGGCAGGATCAGTCACTGATAGAAGTCCACGTCAGGGGATTGTACCTTTGTTGGAGGAAATTTGGTTACTTAGAGAAGTAAGAAACAAAATGTGGTGGCTCGGTCTAGCGCAGAAGCTGAGTTTAGAGCTATGACATAAGGTATGTATGAGCTCTTGTGGATCAAGTTGTTGTTGCATGATCTAGGAATGGAACAGAAAGACTCTATGCGACTATATTGTGATAATAAAGTTGCTATCAACATAGCTCACAATCCGGTTCAACATGACAGAATAAAGCATGTTGAGGTTGATTGTCACTTTATCAAAAAGAAGGTCACTAGTGACGCAATTTGTAATCCATTCGTGCAGTCTGGTGAGAAACTTGCAGATATCCTCATTAAGGGAGTTGGGAGTAAACCATTTCATGATATCCTTGGCAAGCTGGGCATGAGAGATATCTTCACACCAGCTTGAGGGGGAGTGTTAGAATATGTGTTAGAATCTTCTTATTATTTGTTTCCTTAGTTAGATTATTCTATATTTCCTTAATCAGTGTAATTCCTTGATTAGTGCGTTTGGGCTCTCTTTGTAACCGTTGATTGATTTATATAAAGGGAGTGATATCAGTATCACTCTCCGCATCGATTAAACCTCAAATCAAACAGTTGTCCATGTTTAACTATTGCTGAGGTGAAGAGTCAGATTATACCAGGTTAGGCTATATAGATGCTTATCCCCGAGTCTCTATTGAGTAGTTTCATCATACAATTACTTTCATATTCTTGGAGTAAAGAACGGAATTCTATGGTACCAATCTTCTCAAATCAATATTTCTCTACCTTTTATTTTATTTTGAGTTATTTTTTTGTTTCTTTATTTGCACTCACTCTCCTTTTTTTTTAATTTTTTTTTATTTTAACTATCCATATCCGAGGTATTGATCTATTGTTTTAATTGCCATTTTCTGTACCATAAATATCTAGTATTTTCCATGATACCTAGTTATTTAACATTTTGGCTTGTTTCTCAGGTGAATACCCCTAGAATTTGTGCTCGCCTTATTTGGGCTATTTCAGAACACATTGATTTAGAAGGTTTGGACCCTCTCCTTGCGGATGATCCTGAGGACCCCCTGAACATTATTATATCAAATATCCACAAAGTTTTGTTCAACATAGACGCATCTGCAACTTCAACAAATAGACTTCAGGATGTTCAGGCAGTTCTTCTGTGTGCTCAGCGTTTGGGTTCACGTCATGCTAGGGCAGGGCAGTTACTGACCAAAGAACTGGAAGAGTTTAGAGGCAATGGCTTAGCTGATTCTGTCAACAAGCATCAGTGTCGTTTAATATTGCAGAGAATTAAATATGTTGCAAGTCACCCGGATGGGAAGTAAGTATCATTTATATAATTGGTTATCTATTTTTAGTTTTCTAATTTTCGTTATGGAGGCTGGATAAAATCTGAATGGGATTATGTAAGATAGTACAGGCTGTTAGTGGAAGAACACAGTGTGGATTATATGTAGTATATTGATCTTCATTCTATATTTCCGCTAAACATGTATCTTATGCATAGACAAAAGCATATGAAAAATGTGTTAGAAAATAGCTGTTGAACAGAACATCGCAATGTCTGGGTTGCCTGAACCATTTTTGTTTTAGCATGAATAACTTGTATGTTTTCATCCATAAAAATGTGTTACTGAAATTTGCTTTTGCCTTTGTGTTGGATTGGGCTGGGTCTTGCTTAAACCAATTCTTGCAATTTGAGTGGGCATTTTGAAGTTCAACCAAAATCCTATCCTAAGTTAAATACCCCACCGCCTTTTTTCTTCTTATTCTTTCTGATGAGGATATCTTCAACCATACTTGAGTCTAATCGCCTGCCGTGTAACTGGCCCAAACAAACATGCAGGGCAAACCTGGGAGTCAGACATATTTTCCTTGCATCTTGTATGTTCTGCTCTTGGAAGATTTGTGTATGGTCATAAAATTTCTCCCTTTTAAGGACATTTTGGTTCTGTAGGTGATTAAAAGCCATTTCTATTGTCTACTTTGATATTTAAACCTTGGGTGCCGTTTGATAACGCTTACGTTTTCAGTTTTCTGTTTATATTTACAAAAATTTAAAAAACTCAAATAAAAACTTGTTTGGTAAAATTTTTGATTTATAATTCAGTGGTCTCAGTTTATAAATTTGGCCAAAAAACGAAAAGTTGCATCATGTTTCTCTTTCAGGTGGGCTGGGGTTAGTGAGGCCAGAGGAGATTACCCATTTAGCCACCACAAATTAACTGTTCAATTTTATGAAGCATCTGCAGCGCAGGACCGAAAATTGGAAGGGTTAGTTCACAAGGCTATTTTAGAACTTTGGAGGCCCGACCCTAGTGAATTAACTCTTTTGTTGTCAAAAGGATTTGATTCCAAGTTACTTAAGGTTCCACCAAGTGCATATACTTTGACTGGTAGTAGTGATCCTTGTTATGTTGAAGCTTATCATTTGACAGACTCGAGTGATGGGAGGATTACTCTGCACTTGAAGGTAAAAGCTCTTCTCTTCATTATAATACTATTGGTGATTTAACAATGAGAACAGATTTAGGATATCTCCGAATGCTGCTTTACAAGTCAATTAATCTAGAGTGTTTTTTCCCAAAAATATTTGGGGTTTGTTCTCCCCATAAAACAATTGTCAGGCAAACCAACCAGTTTTTGTTTCAATCACCTCTAATTTTTCTAAGTTTGCATGATTTCCTTTTAATTTCTGTTATTTAAAAGCTGATTTGCTATATAATGAAAAATTGTCAGAGTGTTTTTGATAAGCTTCTCATCATGCTGACCATTAGGTTATTTGCAGGTTTTAAATTTGACTGAAATTGAACTCAACCGGGTGGATATCCGGGTTGGGCTATCTGGAGCGTTATACTTCATGGATGGATCTCCTCAAGCGGTGCGACAGTTGCGGGATCTTAATTCACAGGTTGCTTTTGAAACATTGTTTGGGACATGGCTTTCCTGCTTTTTCTACGCACCTTGTTATTCTGTTCTAATGTGTTTTGTTGCCATTTGTTGGATGATGAATTATTTTTCTTCTTGAGAAACATGCAATCTGACTTTTAATTGTCACTTTTGAATGTTACAATTGTTAGTTTTACCGATGGCTGGATTAATGGTTTCAAGAGTTCACATAGGCTGTATATGTTTTCTGGAGAGGATCTAAACCAGATTAGAAGAGTAGTATGAAGATATGAGATAGATGAAAAAATAATTTTGATTCCAGCATTTGGCTGATTTTGACTTCATGAAAAAAAATCTGACATCATTGTGTTTGGATTGTAATTTTTCTCCAATTTCTTATCACCAGATCCATCCCTCCTTCCCTCCCTCCTTCCCTCCCCTTCCTTGGGTAGGATAAAATTATCTAATATATACAGGCTAAACAATTCATTTTACTTGATCCGATTGTGTGCCATCAGAATTACATCCGAGCCTGGGAAATAACACGGATACTTGTTACCCAACCTGTGATTTATACAGACACAGGTTGAGTTCTGTAACCTTCCAGGTTCATATCATATGAACAAGATTTGATGATTTTCACTTCAAAATATGAGTTAATTTGGGGAGCAATCATTGGGTTGTTTCTGCATTTTAGTCTCTTGGAACAAGCTTCCCCTTCTTGTCGTGCATTTCCAAATATGAAAAGTTTAGTTATTAATTTACTTGATTGGATTGTTTGTACGTTTCCAAATATGAAAAGTTTAGTTATTAATTTACTTGATTGGATTGTTTGTAGGATCCAGTACTGTGCAGTGTGACTGTTGGTGTCTCCCATTTTGAGAGGTGTGCCCTATGGGTTCAAGTCTTGTACTACCCTTTTTATGGAAGTGCTCCCGGAGATTATGAAGGAGACTACGCAGACGAAGATCCACAGATCATGAGACAAAAAAGAAGCATGAGACCAGAAACAGGAGAACCTGTGATTTTGAGATGTCAGCCATACAAGCTTCCACTGACTGAGCTTCTTCTGCCACATAAAATCTCACCTGTCGAATATTTCCGCCTATGGCCTAGTTTACCTGCTATAGTGGAGTACATTGGTACGTACACATATGAAGGTAGTGGGTTTAAGGCCACTGCTGCACAGCAATATGGGTCTTCTCCTTTTCTAAGTGGACTGAAATCTTTGTCTTCCAAGCCCTTTCATAGAGTTTGCTCGCACATCATCAGAACAGTTGCTGGGTTTCAGGCAAGTCCTACTGCCCTTTCTTGACGTTTCAACTTTTCTCATTTTATGTTTGACCTGCATGTGATTTTCCAGTTAAAACCTCCTTCATGCTCTTCAGTTCCCATTTCTTTACTTTTCTGGGTAAATGGAACTCTAGTGTTAGCTTGTTTTTGCCAGAAACTCGTGTTTGCATAATATGTTTTGTATGCTTTTTATTCTTGAAGTAAGAGTTATTTTCTTGCTTAGGGGGACTGTGTAATTACTGACAAATTCAGAGTTACTGTTTGGCTATGATATTTACACATTGATTTTAATTTACTTTGGGTCGTGAACAGCTTTGCCTTGCTGCGAAAACTTGGTATGGAGGATTTGTGGGCATGATGATTTTTGGTGCCAGTGAAGTGAGCAGAAATGTGGACTTGGGTGATGAGACAACCGCCATGATATGTAAATTTGTGGTCCGTGCTTCGGATTCATCGATCACGAAGGAGATTGGATCGGATCTACAGGCTTGGTTGGACGATCTCACGGATGGGGGCGTAGAGTACATGCCTGAAGATGAAGTTAAGGTAGCTGCTGCCGAGAGGCTACGGATCTCAATGGAACGAATAGCCTTACTAAAGGCAGCCCAACCGCCTCCCAAGATTCCAAAATCTGATGATGAAGAAGAAGAGGATGAGGAAGATGAGGATAAAAAGAAGAAAAAGAAGGAAGATGGCGGGGAGGATGGCAAGACCAAGGGACCTTCGACTCTGTCAAAGTTAACTGCTGACGAGGTTGAGCATATCGCTCTCCAGGCAGCAGTACTACAGGAATGGCACATGCTTTGTAAAGATAGAAGCAACAAAGCCAATTAGCTTAAATTGTTTGCTTTTTTGGTTCAATCCAAAGTTTTCTTTGTAATCTTTGTATTTCTATGTTTTTTTTTCGCTTTGGTTGATCTTGATGAATGGGTAGATGGCGAAATCTGACTATAGAGTGAGTGCTTTACAGTTTTTTTTGGTTTTGTTTTTTCATTCTTCTCTCTCAATGTGTAATTTGTTTTTCTTTTTTCTTTTGACATGTAAATCTACCAGCTAGCCATTGTCTGTTGTTCTTAAAGATTGAGACATGTTATGCGGTTACAGATCTCAATGGCTGATTGATTTCTGCTGGCAAACTTGAGTCTTGTAGGCACATTGATTGATTGTGGTATAAATTTAGAAAACAGTTCCAATCGGTAAAAGCTATGATGTTCTTTTCATTTG